GGTTGGTCCTGTGGGAACCTACCGGGCAGCGCCCCAGCTGTTCTGTCCCAGGCTCCAGATTCAGCAACTGTTGAAACTGATCAGGCTGATTCCAGGAAGCTGGGGGCAGAGCAACTCTGCCTCCGGCTTCCTGTAGTCAGCCCCTGGTCAGTTTCAGTGGCAGCAGCTGAATCTGGAGCCAGTTCTGACTTGCATACAAATTCAACTTAAGAACAAACCTATAGTCCCTATCTTGTACGTAATCCGGGGACTGCCTGTATTAATTGCTTTAGAATGTATAGCATTTAAGGTTTAAATTGTATAGTAATTGTTTTTAAGGTTTGTAAAACTTAAACAACTGTATTAACTGCTTAAAGCTTGCAATAAATAAGGAAGTGGTTAAGGGCTTTATTCCGGAGGATCGGGCCAGTCTAGACGCTTTTTTCTGGCTTTTCCCCAAGCCGGAAAAAAGCGGCGGACATATTTATTTAAATCCCGCGGGGGATATTTAAATTCCCCGCGGATTTCCCTATTCTGAAGTTGAAAATTAGCATGCCCCTTTCGGAAAAGGGGCAAGTGTAGACGTAGCCATGGAGTGGGGAATACTTTGTGGGTTTCAATGTATGAATGAGAGACATGGAGGATGTTACCTTCAAAGTCTTGATGAGCAACTGTTAAACTATCCCTTTTGTTCTTAAGTCCTAGCAGTGGTTGGTAGGAAGTGTCCTCAATTCTTTAACAAAAGGAATAGGAGAGGAGAGGCCTTGGTCTTTGGCTGGGCTGCACCTGAAGGAAGGAGCCGAGGACCCTACGGTGGTAAAGAGAGCCCTGGTTTAAACTGGCAGCTGGAAAAGAGGTTTTAGGGTGAGTTTTTGAAGAGTTTGTACTGAGGTTTCAGTGTAGAATTAGCCAAGAGTTTTTGTCTCTTTTGATTTGTAACTTACTTTGCTCTGCCTATTCTCACTTTTTACTACTTAAATCCTACTGCTTCCACTTAAAATCATTTTTATTTTCTATCAAACCCAGTGTAAATAATTATTACCTTGGAGAAGGGGGCAACCAGTGTGCACATTCCCCCTTTCATTGTTAAAGGTGGCTTACCTAATTCTTTGGGGTTTGATCCCATCTGGTGCTACCTCAGGAGGTTGGGCTCTAAACTGCACTCCCTTGGACCTGAAGTGGTTCAGTGTCTGTACTGCTTCTTGGTGGGGGCAGGGACCTCAGCTCAGGGCCTTGGCTGGGGGAGACCAGCAGAGCTGGCCCAGCAGGACCGGGTGGGGTGGAGCCCCAGAGAACAGAAAAGCGAGTGTCAGTGGCCGTGTCGGCACCCCGAGAGGTACCCCCCAAGGGGTCATCTGTGACCACACTGCCTCACACATACCTTTGTAACTGTTGTTCTTCGAGATGTGTTGCTCATGTCCATTCCAAATCCCGCCCTCCTCCCCCTATTCAGAGTAGTCCAATATGGAGGAACCAAGAGGGTGGAGGGCCAGCAGGGGTACGTATTAGTCAATATAGCAGCGCCACTCTAGGGGCTCCCCTGCTGGCCCAATGGGTACTGCTAAGAGAAAAACTTCCAATGACGCATGCACGTGATGTATTCCCCCATACATGGAATGGACATGAGCAACACATCTCGAAGAACAACAGTTACAGAGGTAAGTAACCGTTTTTTCCTCTCTACATATTTTTAAATGGAAAAGAGAACATCATAACTGAGAGTGTGACGGAAACAGAGGTTCCTAAACTATGCTGTTGGAAGAACAATCTACTGGACAATTTTTCCCTATCAGCTCTTCTGCTTTTGGCCTTCATTATTTCTGGAAAATAAAAAATCCAAAACCCAAACCAAATCTATATGCCGGTATCTGGCCCTTCCTACAGCTTCAAATTTCTAACTTCCCCCTTCTCTTTGACATCAGCATATCCCACCTTTTTTTATTAAGCCCTTACTCTGCCCTCTTGCTTAAAACCCCCTCCCGCAAGCAACCAGGGTGTTAACTAGGGTGCCTAGTGTGGGGTAGCAGCAGGGGTCAGCCCCTTTCTTCCACACTTACCACGGCGATGGGAGCCGAAGTGACCAGGCAGTCTGCTCCTCTCTGCTGCCCTCCATTTCACCTGACCTTACGGCCAGGGCTGGGCTGCATCGCTCTGCTTTGCACTGACACGGTAAAATTGAGTATAACAGGCTGGGAGAGGGTGGCAGTGTGGGATGGAATGGAGCAGGCTGCTGTGTCTCTCCTGCTTCCACCACCATAGTGAGTGGAGGGGAGGACCCCCAGCTAATATCCCATGCTACACTGGGCCCCATCCACAAGACAATTGAAGTGGCCGGTGGGGGCTCCTGGGGTGGCTGCCTCAAATTGTCTTATGGACTGGATGGCTCTGCCCAAACCTGATATAAGTGGATTAATGGGTTGGTTTTTGGTGGGAGAAAATGTTCCTATTAATTCCTCTTTCTTGGCAGAAAAAGTAAATGCTCTGCAGCCAATACACTACTTCAAAATTATCTTTCCTCAGACTCCTAAATCACTTGCTAATGCAAAGGCTTATAAACATTTTCACAGGCACTCCATTGGACTTCAGGCTTTTATTGATTTTCGGAGACACTCCTTCTTTTCATTTTATCTAATTAAAAATGCTGTTCTTTCAGTTTACTTGTCTTACACCATAAAGTACACACATGCTATTCTCTTGCTATTGCAGTTCCCAGTTCAAAGTTTCTTGCTTCACTTTGTTTACATTGTTGACCAGTTGAGAGGCAACAGATTTTGGAAGTTTGCAGTGGGGTAAATTTCCTCTGGAATTGGTGATAGACTTGTGGTATTTTCTAGTGTTCATTATTCATTTACAAAATAAACCTAAGTGCTGTTTACCATGACCAGAAAGTAATATCTGTAGAAACTGCACATGGACAAAAAGTGCCTTCACAGTGTACTTTTCATTAGCATTGTAATCATGGTGTCTAATCAGCCCACATTTAACTTTGTGACTCTTTTGTACTTTTTTTTTTTTTTTGGTACGTTTTGAGTGGTTTCCTGAAATAGGCGCACACAAATAGGGGCAATTGTTCCCTGAGTGTTTAAAAAAATATCAGAAAACAGACCAAGAAGAAATGTTTGAAATCAAATCTAATCTCATGATTGTTAAATTGAAGTTGAGATTTATGTCTGATTTTTGAAGGGATACAGTTGGCAATACTACTGTGCAAATAAAAAATAATACAATGGACAGAAAATAACCAAAAAGAGAGTGTCTGGATAATTGTGTGTCTATGTAAATATGTTTATGAACAGAACTATATGATGAGATTGCCTATGTCAGCAGGGGACTGGACTTGATGACCCTGATTCCTTTGTTCTTAATTCATATATAGGAATCCAGATAAAATACCATTGAATTCAGCTCAGTTGCCAAGGAACTGGTCAGCTCCCTCCTCTTTCTCCCTTGATCTCTGTAATTTTTTATGTTTAGCACACTATCCATTCCTTTCTCTTTCCTGTGTTCTTGACTGCTTTTGTTCATAAGGTCAGTAGCCTATAAAAAGGGTGACCAAACAGGATGTCAAAGCAGTGATTGATGCACTTTGTGATGATAGGGAAAAAATTGTTTTCAATGTTGAGGTGATTGTTCCAGAGCTTGTTTTCTTGTTATCCTGGTCCAAAGAAAAATGTCCCCAGCCAAACAGAAACAGTAAATGTGTGAATTTTAGTCCTGCATCAAACTCATTCATCTCAGTGTGAAGTAAATTTCAGTTTCTGTTCTATCTGCATTATATTGCTTAACCAAGTTTGTAACCAGTCAGCAAAAGGGCTTACATTGACACAGCAGGATTAACTCACAATTAAACTGTATGCAGTTTTGTGTAGCTGTGTTGGTCCCAGGATATTAGAGACACAAGATGGGTGAGGTAATATCTTTTATTGGACACCTTGAGTGTGTTTCCCAGACCTGAAGAAGAGCTCAGTGTAAGCTCAAAAGCTTGTCTGCCTCACTAACAGAAGTTATTCCAATGAAGGATATTACCTCACTCACTTTGTCTCTCCAGTTAGTAACTGTGACATTTAAGTATTTCACTTTTGCCAGTTGCCTGTTTTGCCACATGGTCATTTTCTTCTGATCATTTCATAGCATAGGAGTGCAGGCTGCACCCTGACCCAGGTTTGTGTAACTAAGTTGGTTGATCATTCTGCTTCCCAACTCTTAGCAGTAGGATATTTCTGAGCTCATTGCCTCACTATTTTTGGTATGGCTCTGTATGCATATCCTCTGAAACAGTATAGGATAACTGCTCAGATTTTCACAGCGCATAACGTGATTTAGCAAAATAGTAGGTGTGGAATATAAACACAATTGACATGAGAGTGTATTGTGAGAAAAACTGCTTGCTGTCCACAGCTGTGTTTGTTGTAACCAGAACAGATGTAGGTGTTGCAACCTAATTACAAAAACACAGTTGTCCATCTTTGCCCCAAGATGTAGTCAATTGTTTTCCAAAGTACAGTCTTATCAAATTTAGGGTGGAACTTCTAGGTTTGGGTCTTTTATTTTGCTGCCTGATGTAGTACAGACTCTGAAGTGTTGCTTTGCTGACAAATTTGGCAGGCCTTAAAAAAACAAAGCAAGCAACCCAAATCCCCCTACAATACTCTAAGGCTATGGCTATACTGCCTCCTCTTGTGCAAAAAATATGCAAATGAGGCAAAGTGTGGAATATCGTTGTGCCTCATTTGCATAATTAATGAGGCTCCGTTTTTGCTCAAGAGACTTGCACAAAAGCCATTCCTCCTCTTTTTTTCAGGAAGAATGGCTCTTGCGCAAGAGGGGGGTTTTGCACAAAAAGGAACCATCTAGATGGCTCCTTTTTGCACAAAAGCCTCTTGCGCAAAAACGGAGCCTCATTAATTATTGCAAATGAGGCACAACCATATTCCATGCTTCACCTCATTTGCATATTTTTTTGCACAAGAGGAGGCAGTGTAGACATAGCCTATATAACTGCTGCAAACAGTTTTTCTAGGGACCTTACCTGGTAAGCACATTCTTAGTGGGTGATGCTTACTCGGTAATGGTTAACTATTACCCAGGAGCAGCCCCC